ATCCTGGGATGGAGGCGGGGAGCTTCCTTCTGGGTGCTGGGACTGGCTCACCTTCTCTGCCCTAGGATCCTGGGATGGAGGTGGAGAGCTTCCTTCTAGGTGCTGGGACCAGCTGAGCTTCTCTGCCCTAGGAGCCTGGGATGGAGGTGGGGAGCTTCTTTCCAGGTGCTGGGACCAGTTTACCTTCTCTGCCCTAGGAGCCTGGGATGGAGGTGGGGAGCTTCCTTCTGTGTGCTGGGACCAGCTCACCTTCTGTTTTCCCTTTCGTAATGTCTGAAAGAATTAATTTATCTCTATCATCTGATTATGTATCTGCTTATTAACAGTAATAAACTTTAAAATCATTTTATTTTGAAAACAATAGGCAGTCTTTCATGCTTTGGTAACTTATTTGGGATTAACTGTATGGTATATGAAATATATTCTTTAAACATTAACTCAAGCCACAGACAAACTGAGTGTAACCCTCAGACTTATGATATATGCCTATATCCATTCCACCACTTTAATTTTCACTATGCAAGTCAACAAGGATTGTGAAATTAGTCCGCTGACATTTATAAAATAAAGGCTCTGAATCCGAGTTATATTTCTCAAAGACTTATGAACTATAAAATAGTATTATTATTATGTTCTGTCATAGCAGTGTGTTTTGAGTTGTATTCCATTTCATGTGCTGAAACTCCTTAAGATCCATTTGTGTAAGAGCTACTCTGTGCACTCATTTTGTATGATGTTGTGGCAAGCTCTGTAATCTACAGGGTTCCTATTCATTTTGGAATTCATTTCACAGCTCACTAATTGTGTGAATGAGAAGAGGAAACAAACGCTTTTATTCTAAAGCATGCCAAGCAGATGGTGTCTGTTCTTTCACTACCAGCCCTGTCAGTGCGGCCCTCTTCTGTAGGTAGTGAACCTGGCATTGATCTGTCAAGCACAATGTGAGAGTCCATTTAACACAGCACTTGATAGTCCCTGAGACTCTGGTTTGTTGTAACTTATAAACATTTTATTTTTTATTGTCAACCTCTGAAGTGGCTGGTCATTTGAGCAGGTGCAACAGAGTAGAATTCATATTCATTTTACTTGAAAAAGCAAATGAACTTCTATTCATATGGAAATTTCAGGGAAAGAAAATAACACAAGGGATTAAGTTTAGTTTCTTGAAAAGGGATTAATGCATGTATTGAGATTCAAAACAGTAGCATCATTTCTGAGATTGAAGTTCTTGAAAAATTGAGTTGAGAAAAAAATCAGGGTTTATATCATTAAGCACTCTGAATGAATCTTTTAAAATCTCTTTTCTTCCTCCTATACAAGGGAACTGCTTACTTATTTTCTTCTACACACTATATGTGACTTAAACCAACATACAAAACATTAGTAATTGCATTCATTCTCTGTGTGTGTTAGAGTGTGTGTGCATGCTTGCATGGAGACAAGGTAACATAGATACAGAGAAAATGAAAAAAAGAAAAATGAATGTCTTTACATATTTCTAACATCAGCAGGGACCTCAGCACCATGTGTAATTGGCTTATTGCAGAGGCAAAGAAAGGATATGTGGTACAAATATTCTAATGGAGCAATTTAATTTACATCTTTGTTAAGAAAGTGAACCATAATATGTTGGAGAAAATGTTTTCTTTATTTAAATAAAAACTGGATAACAGTTTTTTCTCACCCCATCCATCTCTCCATTTCCAAACACCCTAGCCCAGATTCCACACATGTTCTGAATATCTATTTCCTTTCCCTCTGCCTTCAGACGGATGCTGCTCTAATGTACGATGCCGTGCACGTTGTGTCTGTGGCTGTCCAGCAGTTTCCTCAGATGACAGTCAGTTCCTTGCAATGTAATAGACACAAGCCCTGGCGCTTTGGGACCCGTTTCATGAGCCTAATTAAGGAGGTGAGTAGAGCAAACACAGCCCTGCTGCTTTTTTTCTTCACTCAATAAAGTAAGATTATTGCAATTTCTAGCAGGGGACCTTTCACTTTTGTATTTTAAGTTAAGCTTTCCTTTTTCCTCCCAAATACAATTTATATTTTTACTAAATGATATAAAGTAAGTTTGTTGGTTTCATCATAAATAAATGGAAATTTATAAAATATTTATACTGTTGCAACAATGTGAATGTCACTTAGGATACCTTGATTTATGATATTGTTACTTTTTATCTTTCTGAATCTTAATCTGTGCTAATTTTCACTTATTTAACCATATAGATATTTAAAGAATTCTTATATTTTAGCCAACAACAAAATATAAAATACATTTTAATGTAAATGTTATCTGTATCACACTTAAATTATACCGAATTTATGAGGCTTAATGTTTACTTATATCTGTGTTTCTGAAGTATAATACCTAGTTATATAAGTGCAATATGTACTTTATGTTTTGCGATGAAGCCATTTTTATGACCATTTTTTTATTGTATCTATTATAATTATAGGCCAAGCATATCTGAAGTATGAAAAAAGTGGAAAATCCTTAAAGATTATACATATGGACAAACATGTATTTTCATCCTATTCATATTAAGAATAAAGATCCTTTTTTAGCTTAGCATACTTTTTAATCAATGTTTAACTGAGCCTTAATTTTTGTTATAAAAATCACAGATATGAAGGTCCTTTTTTAGCTTAGCATACTTTTCAAAAACGGTTTAACTGAGCCTT